GATTTAATTTTAGTCTAGGACTAAACGACTAAATATAATAAACGTCTAAAATTCCTAGTGATTAAGTCCGAATTTCTACCGTGAATCAATTACTTATAGAGATTACCCAAAATAATCTATAATAGTCTATAAGAATTCATCTAATCGTTTAGTTCTTAATTACATTTAAACTACTACCGCGAATTGATTTCTTGTAGAAATTACCAAGAATAATCCATAATTTATATTAAATTTCGCAATTCTACGACTATAACTAATCTATAACTAAATTCTAATTATTTTAAATTTTCAAAACTTCCCTAATCTCCCTCTAATTTCCTATTTATTTCCCTTTTCTTTTTCTTCCCTTCTTTTTCTTTTTCCTTCCTTTCTTTTTCTTTTCTTTTTTTTTCTTTCTCTCTCTCCTTTCTTTTCTTTTTCCTTCTCTCTCTCCCTTTTCTTTTCTTTTTCCTTCTCTCTCTCCCTCCCGGTTTCTCTCCTCCTTCCTTCTTCTTTCTCTCCCTCGGCTTCTCCCTTCCTCCCTCTCCCTCGGCTCTCTCTCTACCCGGCGGCACGGCGACAAACAGGGGGGGAAGGCAGCGGCTCACCGACGGCGGCAGCGGCAACGACGGCGGTGGTAACGACGGCGCACGGCGCGGCACAGCGCGGCGGCTCGAAGGCGGCGGCGCGGCGGCACGATGACAGCGACGCGTGGAGAAGTTGAGGGAAAAGGGAGAGGAGGAGGGGATGGAGTGGGGAGAGGGGAGATTGGTGGGCTTTTATAGGGGAAAGAGAGGATAAGGGGGAGAGGGAAGAGAAGGGAAGGGCGGTGGAGGGGGGTGAGGCGACGGCGGCGATGTGACGGCGCGCGGCGCGCGGGCGGAGATGACGACGGCGCGGCGCGGCTCAGGGCGCAAGGCGGCGCGGCACGTGGCAGCGGCGCTGGGCGCGAGGCAGCGGATGCGCGGCGCGAGGCGACGGGACGGCGCACGGCGCGGCAGCGGCACGGCTCGAGGCGGCGATGGAACGCGCACGCGGCGACGGGATGGCGACGGCGACGGCGCGGCAGTGGTGGCGCGCGGCGCGAGGCGGCGATGGTACGCACGCGCGGCGCGAGGCGGGACGCGACGGCGACGGCGCGGCAACGGCAATGAGATGGCGACGGCGACAGGCGGCGATGGCGACGGTGGCGCGGCGGCAGGCGACGATGGCGACGGCGCGCGGTGGCTCTGGGCGCGAGGCGGTGATGGGACGCACGCGCGGCGCGAGGCGGGACGCGACGGCGACGGCGCGGCAGCGGCGATGGGATGGCGACGGCGACAGGCGGCGATGGCGACGGCGGCGCGGCGGCAGGCGACGATGGCGACGGCCCGCGGTGGCTCGGGGCGCGAGGCGGCGGCGCGTGGTGAAGGTGGCGGCAGAGAGAGGGGGAAAGAGGAGGAGCTGGGTTAGGGGACCACGTCGAACACCTGGCGGCCGATGAATAGTGACTTTTTCTATTTATCCCGATTTTAGTGTATTTTCCATATAAATTTGATTCCACAATTCCTAATTTTGCATATGTGCATTTTACTCAATATTTGTGTTATCTTAACTAATGAATTCACCCTAGATTAATATTACTCATATTTTATTTTTATATAATTTATTTGAGTTTTAATTAGGGTTAATTCTTATTCCATTGTATTTAAATTTAATTGATCCAAATATGGTCGCGATAATATTTTATTTATTTCTGTCCACACCTAATCTTTATTTTAATTTGTATTTATTTTACCAATTTGTTTGTAAGGTTTATTCCTAATTAACTATTCTTTACTCACGATTAATAATCTTCGAGATCAAATCCAGATAAAATAGACGAATAAGATCGGCATGATGCAATTAATTTAAAAAGTTTTTGAAAATCCGTATTTTTAGAGTTTTGATTTTGTCGGTCGAATTTTCAGGGTGTTACATTATCACTTCTACCATCTGTACACATAGAGTGTAATATGGCTATAAGCAAAACTTGTGAGACTAAGGAAATCAAAGTTCTTTGTGTTGAATCATTTCATGAAGGCACATGATACAGTGACAACCAAATTAAGGATAGATTATATGTTGGATTTTTTTTCTACGTAGAAGTTCAACTAGTTCAATTTTTTACACAGTTTTGAAGAACTTTAAAGGTATGTTAGAACACATAACACCCACACAATTGCTTGGCTGGTAATGCAAAATATTAGCAATTGTTTCAAGCTAATTACTTTGTTTTTTCATGCTTGATTGTTTTCTTTGAAACAACATTTGTTTGAAATAAGATCAATAGTGTATAAATTTGATTAGTGTGTGTAGTGTACTTATAAATTTTGAAGTGTTCTACAGTAAAGTTTGCTTTTGTCATGTAGTCCAATTATATCAAAGAATATAGTTTTATCATGTAAATTATAATCAATAAGTTCAATATAATTTATATCATCATAATTAATGAAACTTATTTAAAAAATATGACTACTTAAAAAACTATGGTTCGCTTTTTTTTTTCTCCTTATTTACTGGTGCCTTTGTCTACTCGGAATCAAAGAAAAAAGTAACACGTCATGCCATAGTTGATATATGGCTATATGCTATTTATCAGTACTCTATGTCCACTCATTGCTCAGTAGTGTCTTCCACTCACCAATCATCTTGTGATAATCATATAGACAATATTTGTCTATTTGTTTAGTTTACCTAAAGGGCAACACCACATTGCTCCTTTCTCATGCATGGTCGTAGACTCTAAAATGATTTGCCCAAAGCATGTTCTTCATTAACACATGTAACTAGAACATTAATTACATAATATTATACAAGTGTGGCACACTTGGTAATTTTCGTTCTAGTTTCACCCCTGTTCTGGAAAAAGTGCTTTAGGAAACAATATATACATAATTCTTTTTCTGAAACACATCATTTAGGAACTTGGGAAATGTGCAAATGAAAATCCAAAATCCATTAGGTAATCAACCCTTCATTTTAGCTTACACTGAGTTGCATTTTGCAAAAACTTGACCCACTGGACTTGATTATTTTCCTTTTGAAACACACGTCCAATTTGTTTTCACTTTATTAACAAAACAATCATTATTGATTGATGATTTGATGTGTCCTCACCTTGGCAAACTAGTAGCGTTGTGGTGATCCTGATCACCTTAGTTTCCTTGATCTGGTGCGTTGCATTGTTGTATGTGCGGAAGGCAAAGGTGTACGCATGTATTGTGTAGAGGAACGAAGACCAAATAGTTTAACTAAAAAATAGATCCATCAGTTTGAATGAAAATCGATGACCAAATAGTTTAACTAAAAAATTGTATCAAATAATGTGTCCACTTGTTGGTTTAAGTATAAATTAGTTGATATAAATTATAAATTGTTAATTTGATAGATATAAAATATAATGGTATAAACTTCAGACAATGTATTATTTGGAAATAATTAGTCCACCAGTTTAAGTAAAATATTATCTTATATTATTAATTTAATGGGTTAAAAATATAACTTTATAACTTTATTTTTAAACATTGTAGAGCTAATGTTCAGTTATATTTATTTGTAAAGTGTTACTTTATGATTATATATATAGTATATGTTTGTAATACTATATTTTTTAAATTTATTATGACTAATATAATTATTTTCTCACATATACATGAAAAAAGGTGGAAAGAAGAGGGAAGCTGGTGTATTTTTTTAATTGATGTATATAATTTGTGTTTTTAGTTTTTTTGGCTTTAACGTTCATTTTTTGGCTTTAATTGATGTTCATTTTTGTCTTCTCACATAATGTTTTACGATATGTATGTACTTTGTATTTTGGGTTTTTTTACGAGCAATACTTATGTGAACAGGAGATTAGAAGAAGGGAGTTTTTTAAAAAATATATCTAATCTAACGGGTCCATCAATTTATGTGAAAATTGAAACTAGATGTTTTGCTTTTTTTTCTTAGAATTTCAAGCAATTTCTTTAATTTATTAGAGTGCCACGTGACGGCTTAAGAGCATTTGTAGAAAGTTTAATGAACTTTTACTATATAATAGATAGATAATTTAAATATAGAATGCTGAAGCAGTGTTGATTGGATATTTTATATGCAAGATCTAGTTTAACTGCATATATTTATAGAGTAATATACATTATTTCTAAATAGTAGAAAATACTATTTCAAAGCTCATCGATTTTTTTTCAATGACACTAAGTGTTTTTTTTCTTTACTTTATCGCTTAGGTTAATCGTTTTTCTTTTAGATGTATGTTCGTAATACTTCTTTTTCTTTTTCCGGCCTATAAGAGGAAAGTATTATCTTTTAAAATAATACATCTAATCTAATGGTGTAAAATATCGGGTCCATCAATTTAAATAAAAATCGATGATGAGATTAAACAATGCCATGTGACGATCTAGGAGTGCTTGTATGAGCGCTACATGATGGTTTTAGAGCGTTTGTAGATTGGTTTTAGAGCATTTGTAGTTAGTTTAATGTATTTTGAAGTATATAATAGATACGTGTCAGGGCTGTGCAACCGTCGGTTTTAATTACTGTAGCTTTCTGTGAACAATAGCAGTTCATATTGGTACATAAGAGTCCTGTTATAATCTTAGAAACACGGTTGAGACAAGCATGGTGGCCCAAATACCACCATAATTTATTCTATTTGTCCTTCTCCCATTATCAAATTTTTTGTCACATAAAGTAGCTGGCCGGCTGTGACGTTTGGGCCAACTTATTGAAATAGATAGGTGGCTTGCTTGTCATATACATCCTCCGTTTTTGGAAAGAAAAACAATTTTTAAGAATGAATCTGGGCAAATGTTCTTTTTTATTTACAGGTAGTACCTTAGGATGAAATACGGTTCAATGATAGGGAATAAGATATGGCATTGTTATCCTACTAGGGGTTTCCCGGATTATCTATATATTAATCATTGTTTTTGAGGGTGGAAAACTATATATGTTAATTAATAAATCGATAGTGACATATTGTTGTTTCACTGCAGCTACTACACGAAGGTTCGAGGGCCCAAATTTTGAACCCAAATTGCATTTATGTGTCCCCCAAGCCAAATCATGAGACAATCGACAGAAAGATCTTGAAGGGGGAGCATGGAGGACTAAAACATCCACCTCCTCAACCTTCAATAAAATGTGGTGTAAGGAACTCCACTACACGTAATATCACGTACATATTTCTATATATATTTAAGTTCATCTGAATCTAGGTGAATTTTCGCATCCACAGGTCTATGCCAACTATTTGTCATATTTTTGGGCAAACAACAACTTTACACGAAGAACTCTAGGAATCAAGAAGGTAATTTCGGGGCACCTTTTCATTTCTAGGAATCACTCCTTTGCATTTGCCATACGAGCACATTTTTCAAATTATCTAAATGCCAAATATCCAGGGCACCATAAATGAATGGGTTAGGTGCCACGAACATGATCTACCATACAACATCGACATCAGGAGCAGCATAAAGTATCATCGAAATGTTACACTAAAAGGTTACCGTGCTTTGGTATATTGGTAATAAATGTTATTGGCAAGTTCTCAGTAGTACCTGTACAAGCTATTATTTAGAACATTTCAATAGAATATCCAAACTAGATGAGATGGCTATGACAAATATATATATATATACCTTAGACAAGTACATGCCATGGCTATCACAGGAAAAGGGAGTATTTCATATTTTTGATAAATATTCTTATTTTTTGAGGAAAATATAAATAGTCTTATTATTTCGTCATTACCAGCTAGAGATAGCATTGTAACTATGTTTTGAATAAAAGATTGTTCCTAAATTAAACCTATACTTAAACGTGTTCTGTTCATATTATAGTCTTGGTTGTTCATATCAGTTCTTGTAACCACTTGGTGAGAATTGTACTTAAAACATAAATAAATCATACACGGGGATAAATCGAGGATAAACCAAACCTTCTGTTAGAATAAATAAATTAGAGCCCACCTCAATATTGACTTTGGTTGTGCAGAACTCAGACGCACACAAACCAATTTATTTATGCAAAATTCTCCTTTTGTTGAATAAAATATTAGAAACAATTACCAGGAATTGATTTTACAAATTGATCCCATCAACACGTTGGATTATGAAGCAGATTACTACTATCTGTACCAAGGGCAGATATTTTCTTTATTTATAAAAAAATGGACAGCTGAAGGAATTTCTGGATGTGTTACATAAACACACAAACATTAACCTCAATTGAAAGAAATTGTATTTTTTATATATATTTCAGCATGACATTTCAAAAAGGAATTAGTGAAAAATCCTTTTGAATGAAGCTATTCAGGGAAAAAAACATCAAATTTGCAGGTCCACTCTTACTAACATTTCGACTTTAAAATCTTTTAATAGGAAAAACTAGTGGTCATTGGTGAAAGTAATGTTGGATGACAGAACAACATGTTGGATGGAAACTACTAACCCAACTAACAACGAATGTGTGCATCTAGCAAAAATCTCTTGATGATAAGTAATACTTTGATTCACTGTGTTGAGCTACAGACACATTTTTACCTTCTTAAGATATACCCAGTATTGTAAACTACTGTTTCATCAAATTTATGTGCAGTGGTGACCACGATGCTGTTGTGCCATTCCTCGGGACACAAGCCTGGGTGAGATCACTCAACTACCCAATTGTGGATGACTGGAGAGCCTGGCATATCGATGGCCAGTCTGCTGGGTAAGATTAATGTTGCCTAATTCGTTTTCTTGTTTAGTTATGTATAACACTACTACGGGGTGATTAATAAGATTTTCATAAGTTTAAAATACACTGTGTTTTTCAGTTCATAATAAACTCAGTCGAAGAGTACATTACCTGAAATACGATTTATTTATTTGCAGATTCACCATAGCATATGGAAACAATTTGACATTCGCTACAGTAAAGGTGACAATATATCTGTCTACAAATGCATGATTCTTGTTTTTCAAAAAGCAAATGAAACTTTTCTTTTTTACATTCATTATTTTTACTATGGTTATTTTGAATGAAGTTAATTAACTCCTACAGTTTCAAACAGTTTGGGAGTATCTAGGTTCTAATGATTTGTTAAATACCAGATGCAAATGTTTGGTTGCAGTATGGGTTGAAAGTTGAAACTGCAAAACGAAAATTTTGAATTAAGGGTACAAGTTGTACACTCCACATTTTCATGAATGAAAACTTCATGCATAGTGATGAGTAAAAATAAATCCAACCATTAATGTAATAAAGCTATGTTTGTTATTAAAGATAAGTGAATTGTTCATGCTTGTTCACCAGCATAACTTTTGAATGAATTGGCTTGGCTGGTGCACAGAACTAAATTTACGTACTATTAGAGCTAGAGATCTTGAGTATGAATCACTAGTGCAATCCATTTATTATATACTAAAAGTCCATTAAACATCATATAAATGCTCCTAATACGCAAGTAGCACTCTTACAAACAATACTAAGATGCCATGTGTACTCCAATAAATCAAAGAAATTCCTAAAAAAAAAAATCCAACCATTGCATTTCATTTAATTGTGTGGACCCATTATTTTCATGCATTTGATTTATTTTAGATTAGAAAAAAAACACTTCCCAACCCAACGTCCCTTCCATGGCCAGCACGTATGTCGATGGAAATGCGTACGTACTAACTACTAACGTACACAACTCCCCTCGTTATCTTACTCCTGTTTACTCTTCTATTTACGTGCAATATTAGTTAGGAAGCATAATTTCTAAAAAAAAAAGTTTAAACAGCTATAACATCTAAGTTATATAGCTAATAAGCTAATTATATGTTCCTAGGTTATTTATGACTAAATTTACATTTAAAGACACATATTTACTTATATTTCAAGTTTCAAAAAAAATATGTCACTTCTGTCTTATTTTTTTTATTTTCGTGTGCAATTAAAAAATATTAAAAAAGGAAGATATAGATTTTACCTTTGTACGTAACTTCACAATGTCTTTAAAACTAGAAAAACTCTAAGAAATTGTGAGGAAATAAACATCCAACTATCGATTTTTCACTAAAATCGATGGACACATTGTTTTCAACCATTAGGTATATTTTTAGAGAAATCGCGATCATGTGTCATGTCTTACGAATTAGAAAAAAATATTTGAAATTATCAAGAAGAAGCATCAGGTTTTCACTTAAATCGTTTAGAAAAATTAGAAATACGAACTACTTTCTACTTTATCCTACTCCTAAAATGCACATAAAACTTGCCCCGCCCCCTCTCCTCATGACTCAGTCTCTCCGATCTCCACCTCTACCTTTCTCCTTGTTTCTATCAAACTAAAAGAGAAACGATCTATAACATTAACATGACCATAATATTTAAGCCATAGATCTGATTTCTAATCTAACTATTGCCATATTCATAACTAAAATAACAGTTAAATGTACACAATGCCTATATTTCTAACTTAAAATAAGAACCATGTAAAATAAAAAAACAGAAAATAGCAAATGTCAATACAGACTAAGTTGAGCCATTTGGAGAAAATCTAATAAATTCGTAAAATAATTTGGTTTTTAATTTTTCACTTAAATTGAAACAACCATAGCTTTTTCCATTGCCATAACAATTTTAAGTGCATGGTCAACATATATATTAATGGCCTCCCATCTATCCTATAGCGTGACATAAGTTGACAAAGTGTAATTATAAATTTCTCCACATATTATTTCATTATGTGGCTGGGACAAAAGTGATTTTTTAATCTAGGAGACATTTTTATCATTTAAATATATTAAAGTTTACGGTCTATTTCACGTCATAGAAATGATAAGAGGTGACTTCTTTTAGCGACTTCTTTTAGCATTGCTTTCATAAAACAATAACTAATATGCCCACGCATCTGCACCGGCTTCCATCATAGTTAAATAAAAAAACACAGCCCACTTCTATGAGTTGCTTGTACGTATAGCATTGGGGAGTGTTGAAGTATAAAAGTATTATTCTCTCTTCCTCATTCAGCTTATGTTTTTCAATGACCAAAGGCAGTTGATGCAACTCAACACAAATATACAGCAAAATTACAGCCTAAGAGGCACGCTTTGACCGTTTTCGTATAATGGAAACAAATCCAATAACATATGCTTTGAGCTGAACCTAGGACATATAATTAATTTATTTTATTTCTAGCATTCAAATAATCAAACAACATTGATGATGTAAACTATTCCTTTAGTGGCCTCTACAGCAAGGAACTTCTATATCTAACCCGTAGTCATTATTAACAGTTCGATGAAAGAAACCAGTTATATTTCATCCTTAGTCATTATCAACGACAAGATAGAAGAAGAAAAAAAAATTCAAGAACTTGACAAAAGACCAACTAATTATTGTTTGTGATTTTACTTGTTTTGAATATGCATTGTAATACTGTTTTACTCTCTCCAAATGTAGGGTGCTGGACACACTGCACCAGAGTTTGAGCCGGAGAGGTGCTTTGCAATGTTTAAGCGTTGGATTTCCAGCATACCACTATGATGATGGATGTGCATATCGTGTAACTTGCACAAATGGAGGATTGTAGTATGAATGTCATGGGTGAATAAAATCAATTCTTTTTTGGGAAGGCTCAAAACAAGACTATTTTTTGTAAATTTGATTCTTTTTGACGAGACCCCCACTAGGTTCCAGGCGGACCAGAAGTCCTCTCACCTACAAAAATCGCTCCTTGGGGATGGTTAAGGGGCCGCATGCAAAAATTTATTTCACAATCGTCTCCTTAAGAGGTCCACCTATGATAATAGGTGGGGTTGCCCGCGAAAGTATATTTTCGCAAGCAGACAACATGGAGAGAATGTGTGCCCCATGCGTCCCCGCACTGACACGCACTACCTTTTCTTTCTTGATCTTCACCTTTTTTACACCTCCTCTCCACTCACACACACCTTTCTTCTCTTCTCCTCCCCTTTGCTCTGGTGGCTAAGGCTTCACATTCCCTCTCCACTCCCTCTTCCTCTCCTCATCTCTTCCCCATTCCTCTCCCCCTTCTCTTCTCCGGTGGTTGAGACGGAGGCAGCTAGGAGCGACGCTGACGGCGGCGACGGTGACTACTGTGAGGGCGGAGCAGAAGGAAGGTCGATCCGGTGGCGCCGCCCTTGGGAGCGTCATATCAACCGTTAGCATCACGAGGTCGATAAGCCCCTCAACTGCCACTTAGTCGTCACATTCCACCGCTAGAACGCACCTCCCTCTAGCCAGCAATGCGTGCCTCCCCAGGTCAAGCCGGTCCCTGTCCGCCACCTCCTCCGTCTTTCCTGTCACCGGTTCGCCACTATCGACACCGACCCGGAGCCGTCGCCATCTTCCTCGCGTCGCCATCGTCCTCTCATCATTGCCCGCTGTCGTGAGCCCTCGGTGAGCCGCCCCTCCTCTTCCTCCCCTTCTGCCGCCGCTCCGCGCACCCTCCGTCGCGCCAGATGGTCGCCGTCTGGCACCATCGGGCTGTGCATGTCGCACCCTCACGGTGGGGAAGGCCGACCGCAGGAAGCCGCTTCCCAGCCGTCTGATATGCCCCACGACAGATCTAGGCCGTCCACCTTGCCGCCCGTGTGGCTGCTGCGTCGGCACAACATGTGCACCACATGGTGCACCTGTCCCCAGCCTAGTGGACTTAGTCCACTGTGCGCCGCCCTCCTTATGTCAACAACGTGTGCGGCCCGCTTGTCGGTGCTGGCCTCCATTCACTTACGTCAGTGCTCGAGCTTTCATGCGCAATAATTCATAAAGTTTTTTTTCTATTAGTATATTCATCCGAGCTCCATTTATGTCCTTTCAAATCGCACTGAATTCATCAAAATGCCTAGAATTCATTTAAAATGTTTTTATTTTCCATTTCAAAAGACTTATAGCATGTTTGCTTTGTGTGCATTGTTTGTCTCTTAGATTCCATCAGTTGTGAACCCCCGTTTTACTTCAAAGTGGTTGCAGAGGTTTCAGCAGCACTAGAGCAAGGCATGTCATGCATCCTCATTAAACATATTGTACCCATCTAACAAATGTCTCGCTTTGTATTAAATACTGTATTATTTTACAATGTCATGTGGGGTAGTTTCCTACATACTTAGCCACAGTTTAATCATCTTGTACCATTGATAAGTTGGGAATTAATATGACTAGATGTTGGTTTAGGAAATGCCTAGCCATGCTTAGATCAACTACCTCACTATGGGAATCTCACATATACCTTATTTCTTGGATTAATGATGATGACATTGGACATGGATCAACATGGTATTAATTCAACGACAATATGCGTAATGGTGGGCTATGGGCATATGGTTTTGATAGAAGCGCCCAGGCAGCTAAGGACTAGTTCGTGGGAAACAACTGGGTCTGTAGTATAGCTCTTCCCTCTATAACGTATCCAGGCAAGGGTTGGCGTGATGGAGTTGGGTTGGCCCTGGTTTAAGCGTTGATCAGTTGCGAGATTCATCGCGGTGCACATGGGGTTGCCCACCCCTATTTAAAGGTGGCGGTTGTTGGTATTTCTTACGTTCACAGATAAATCTGCAAGCGCACGGATATTGTTGTAGCATTTTACCCATGAGTATTCCCAAGGGTATCGTATTTATATTCTGCAGGCACGGCGGCGGCGTAAAGATATAAATTATACATCATTCATCTATCTACAATTAATCCACCATAGTCTAAAAAGGAGTTAAAGATAATATGATTAAGGTAGTGGACACACAGTATGTTCACCTCTATATTAATGCTTAGTAGAACAGAGTATTAGAGAACTATGATACAACTGTACTTCTATACTAATCATGTCTAATACACACTTAACATATACATGCTTACAACATAGGACTTAGTTCCAGGCACCTAGGTACTACCGAGAGACCACTCCCTGCTAGTCTGCAAGCGTAGTTATTGCATTTACGCAATACGTCACACCCGAACGTGGAGGAATACAAATGATGGACATGGATATCACCACCTACCATCTACCTCACTTTTCGTGGGGCACACCCACATCCAATGGCATTTATATAACCTAAGCACTGTGCTTGTGCTAGTAAATAATGTCACTTACTCCCCTAGGACTCCCACCCTACGGGTAGACAAGTTAGCGCTAGAGCTACCTATAAAGGTCATTAGACCGTTACTGTAGCATGGATCAACTAGCCTAGCTAGAATGAAGCAGTTATACAAAGTATATACTAATATACTGCCTGGTGGGCCCTTCCATCCGCGTGCTCGCACATGATTCGTCGGAGGTGTGTTTCTTTGCATGCCGGCTTCATTTTTCCTTCACTTTGATGTATATTCTCTACATCCATGTTAATTCTCTAGGTCCAGTACATTTAATTTATTTATTATCTATTATATACTAAAAGTCCATTAAACTTCCTACAAACGCTCCTAAGCCGCCACGTGGCGCTCTACAAACGCTCCTAAACCGCCACATGGCACTTTAATATAGTAGAGAAAATCTTAAAAATTCTGATAAAAACAAAATACATCTAACCATTGATTTTCCTTTAAATAGGTGGACCCATCAATTTTAACCATTAGTTCTCTATTAAAAAATCCGGTACAACACCCCGCACCGTATTTGCGCACGTACGTAATCCGTACTCCCTCCACCCTCCGTATCTCTTCTCCTCTCCTATTTTCTAACTTACCTTTCATATTTTTCTAGCTAACAGTTAATATATAATTGTAATTAGATAGATCATAACTCTCAAAAGTTATCATAAAAGAAAAAAGAAAAAGATCCGTCCGTCGATTTCAACTAAAGCTGATGGATCCACTATGCATGTCAAACAGTTAGATTATATTTGTAAAGGGGCAATTGCTTATTTGACCCCGTTTTGAACCCTAACTACCAATTTGACCCTACTTTGTTGAGTTTGCTTATTTGACCCTCCTTTTTGAAAATGAAGATACGGTATAACCCTATTCTGTTAAAGGCACCTAATGGTGTTAACTGAAGCACAAAATGTCTCTTATGCCTTTAATGATTTGACCCTATTACATGTGCGACCCACCCGTAGTTCTCTCTTCTCATCTCCTCCTCTCCTCTCTTCTCTCTTCACCTCTGCTTCTTTCCTCCCCGCCACCCCCTCCTCCCTAGGCGCGCCGGCCCCGTCACCACTGATCTCTTCGCGTGTCGGCGCCGCTGCCGCCGCCTCTCTCCAGCGCAACGCCACCCCTCCTCCCACCACCGCGCCGGCTGCCACGACCTCCCTCCTCACGCCGCCCCCGCCGCTGCTCCTCTCTCCGCGTGCCGGCGCCCCCGCCGCCGCCTCCTCCTGCTGGCTCCCCGCATCGGCGTCGGCGCCGCCGCCGCCTCCTCCTTCCCAGTGCCGCCTCCACCACCTCCTTCCCCATGCCACCGACGCCGCGGAGATGTCAACGAGAGAGGGTCGGGCCCTCCTCCCCGCGCCGCCGCCTCCTCCTGCTCGCTCCCCTCATCGGTGTCGGCCGCGCCACGCCTCCTCCTTCCCCATGCGTCATCCCACTGCGGGGCGCAGGAGCTAGGGATCCGCTGCCGCACCAGCTGGGGATCTGCCGTGATGACCGGGCGCCGGCGCGGATCCTCCTGTCTCGCCGCCGCCGCGCACGCAGAGCGCCGCCGCCGCCCTCCTCTACCTCCACGCCGGCGCGAGGTTCCGATTCACGCAGCCACCACTGCCCCCTCGGAGCGCCACCGCCGCCCCCTCAGTGCTGTCGCCGCAATTGGCGCAGGAACGAGAGAGAGAAATTCTGGGTATTATGAATACTGGTTACATTTCTTTTTTTATTTTAAATAAAAACTTAACGGATTAGTGGAAGCAGGGTTGGACTGGAGCTTCGTTTTGAAAAAGGAGGGTCAAATAAGCAAACTCAAAAAAAAATAGGGTCAAATTGGCAGTTAGGGTTCAAAATGGGGTAAAATAAGCAATTGTCCCATTTGTAAAATAACAGGCCTATGTTCGGCCTTGGAGCTATTCAAAAATAACGAACCTTTTTCTCTCTCTCTAAGTGTACCTACATATGTTAGGATATGTTTAGATCCCACTTTAAATTTTTTCACTCTATCACATCGAACGTTTGAACACCTACATGAAGTATTAAATATAGACTTTAAAAAAAACTAATGGTACAGATTGGGACTAATTTTCGTGATGAATATTTTAAACTTAATTGCTCTATGTTTTGATAATATGGTGCTATTGTAAACATTTGCTAATGACGGAATAATTAGGCTTAATAAATTTGTCTCGTGGTTTACTAACGGATTCTGTAATTAGTTTTTTTATTAGTGCCCAAACACCCCATAATCGTATATAATACCTGATGTGACACACCAAAACTTTACACCCATGGATTTAAATACCCCCTTAGTCAAAAAATAAAGTGTACGTATATAGTGCAAGAGTATACCGTGGTTAAATACTTAAAAATAGTATTCAAATAAATATAACTTCTTAACTGTGCATGCAATTTCCAACTGGTTTGTATTTTTATATTATTTTTGATTAAATTAATAATTTAAGACCCATGTTAACTATATTTTGATTATAGTTATGATATTCTATGCATCACAGTTATGAAATATTTTCTAAATAAATACGATATCAAATGTGCTATTATATATTAATCTAGAAACGTATATGTAGTTAAATTTGATCCATGATAACAATGATGACGATGCTCTACGTATTTCCATGGTGTATATAATTTTTTAAGTAGTGTCAAATAACCAACTACA